TGTACGTGCATACACTTTTGTATGTAAAGGACTCATTTGTTGTGGATTAACCCTGAATAACTATGTTTTTGTTTGTTGAGGTTCTGATAAAGTGATGTTATTATTAAAATGAGAAGAACCTTTGTTGTGAGCTGATCCATGGGTTTAATATTGGAGCAGGTTCTGGTTCATTTACCAGCAGCACGTCATAAGTGGGCTCACATCAGCATTCAGATTTGGACTTGTTTTGGATCAAATCAGTATGTGCTGTTTTTGTCGTTGCTGTGCCTCGTTTGGTTTGAATGATTCTGTCCAGTGAAAAATGTCCTTGGTGGTTGTTTTCAGTCAGCTCTTGTCCATCTCATCAAAATGTCCTTGTCAAATCATTGTTGCATTCCCCTCAGTATTATCAATATACGAACGTCAAGTGTGAAAATTTACTTGCAAGAACCTATTGAAACTAAAAGACGCACTGTAAGTCTGTTTCACACTTTAGTTTTTCAATGTTGTAAAGAAATGTGTGCATGAGCAACAAATCAGTGTCCTGTTTAAACTCAACTCTGTGTTGAAGTCATACATTTAAAATGTGCAGTTTGAATACAAGGAGTTTTACTGTAGCAAAAAGAAATCTGTGCTGCTTTAATCAACTATTTTATCACAAGACTTTAATGTTCTGTACATATTCAAGAACTTCAACTGTATGGACAAAATCTAACAAAGTTAAGTTAGGTCTTCTGGATGGATTAAAAAAAACTTGTTGAAACATTTTGTCTTTTTTTTTATTATTACTTTATTTTACCTGGAAGAAATCCATTGAGATCATCAATCTCTTTTACAAGGATGTCCTTTTATCCAAAATACAGTCAGTCTGAGGAGCTGCAATAAACTCAATCTTATAAATAACACCTTTTCATAGTGGATCAACCAGTTTGCTCTTGACGTCCAGAACTAGCTGTTCACATGATAAAGGAGAACCATCAGCCTAACGACCGATCTTTAGTGCCCGTATGGCCGCTTGCTGGTCTGGAAGCTCAGTCCTCACCTCCTTCTACAGGTGTGCAGTGGAGAGCATCCTGTGCTCCAGCATCAATGTGTGGCATGGAGGCTGCACAGC